AGTACTTGGGTAAGTTTCTATGGCAAAATACACTCAGTCAACTGTTTGCAAAAAATATGGGAAATTGTAAAGTATAGTAAAATACCATACATTTTTTATCATCCAGTGATTTCCCTGAAGGTTGGTTTCATAGCAATGGTACTCAATACATACACCTCCACCCCTGAAAGGTGGGGAACTGCAGATGAAACAACTTAAATGTAGATATGCCTATACAATATTTTGTAGGGAGATCAAACTCCTTGTTCCTGAGTTTAAAGCATGCACACATTTATTCTGCCCATATTTTGAGCTGACCAGAAGCCGTGTAACTGCATTAATTCTTGAGCTAATATACCATGGCTCTCAACAGAGATAATTAGTTTGGGTTCAGCCCCATGTTATAGCTCTAGATCAGCTTGTAAAGTAATCAAAGCAAGCTCACATCTGTCTATGTAAGACTATGAGCATATACCTGATACTAGTAACAACAAATAATGCATATTAATTCAGAGTTTGATACCCATTTCTTCCTCTTTTTTTTTTTTTTCTTTATAAAGGTAACAGTTTGTGGAAGAAATAAATGTTTGGATAGCAAGTTAATTCACGAAAAAGACAAAACATGTTGACTTCATCATAGGCCATGCTCTTACATATGTACTAGACAACCCTCTACATTCATGACACTAGCATTCTAAAGTTTCACTTTTTGAAATGTAAAATTACTCTAGCAATTAGGAATGGGCATAACCTTTCATATATATATATATAAATAATCTGTAGAGTAAGAAGAGCAAATTCTGTAATCAATAAAGGATTCCTAGACTTTAAGGCTAGAAAGGATCATCTGCTACATTATGCAATGCTACAATGTTTGATCATCTCCCTGTTTAACATGTAACACACTTGTGAAGGGGGGTTCTAGGCTTTAGCTTGTAGAGAGTGGAAAACGGAACTTGACATGCCCTTCTTTACTGAAAGTGAGCAGCAACAATTCCTCAATTCCTTTCTGTCAATAAGTAAACACCCTTTTCTCACCCTTTTTGCCTATAGTATACCAAAAAGATTCAAAACTATAGGATATATTTGAAACAATTATTGCAAATACAGATTTTGCAACACCGTCTGTATAACCTGCCTGAACATCTGCAGCCTTGATGCATGAGGTAGCTCAGCTCCATCATTACACCTCGTTGTGCATGGCAGGAAGAGGAGGAGGTTGTAGCAAACTTTAGCAGACCATTTGTACAACTTACTGGACTTTGGTTGATATATGACTCTACAGTAAGTCCAGTTCACCAACCTCCTCTTTTTATTTCTTATGTCCCCTGCTTACAAATTGTACTTTTTCCTTAATGCACTCAAAAGTGTTGAATTTTGCTGCCTGTTTCTACCAAGACATGAATGAACCTTGCTTAGTAAGCCAATTACCTATCCTTTGAAGACAGCAAGACACAGCTGTAGTCAATCAGAAGACCAAGCACATAGAGACTAAAATGTCAGACACAGAGCATCATATCAGTAAATTCTGCACTGAAATAATTTGCCCTGTATCTTACCACAATACCAAATTCTATAACTATGTGCAATTGTGGAATACAGACTTTGATTGCATGAAGTAGTTTACTTCATGTACATGTTTGCTGGTTTTCAGGTTGACTGTAGGTGTTGCATTGATTTACACTCATTCATGTTTTGAAATACTACCTGCAAAAGAAGACGGTTCTTGTAGCACAGTTCTGTGATAAACGAAAAATTCTGTGGGCTCCGAGTCCCAGTATTCACAAACCATTCAGCAAGCAAAATCAAGCATATTTTTATTCTGAAAACACTGCTAGCTAAATTTTAAATCTATAAAATTAGAAACCCAGATTAATCAGAAAGTAATAGTTACTACTCCTCACTATCAGCAGTCCTCCATGAGGATGGCTGAAATAAGGCACTACTTGCCATTTCCTAAGAATGTATTACAGTTTGCTAAGCCAGTATCATCAGAAGTGAACTAACTTTGCTAAAATCTTTTTAGACCACAGGTCATACAATGTCTCTAACCAGACAATTTTTGTACTCCAGGAAATGTTCTTGCATTTGTTTACATAAGCTGTTCTGTTCAAAACAAGAATTTCCCAATTTTCTACAGTTTAAAACAGTATAAAAACACCGTGCAGATTATTCTTAATGTTCTAGATCTACATTTGGACAAATCAATTATTGTGAGCTAATTTCAGTTATTAACTAGCTCCCCTGTTTAAAAGCCACTCAGAAAACTTTTAATGCTATTTTTTACTATGCTATTTTTTTGCTAATAAGATTTTATTTACAAATTGAGTTTTCATAACTGATATCCAGTTAATTAAACTATATTTTTATTTATTAGATAGTTCACAAATGATTCCCAAACAGAGGGAAAGATTAAATGTTCTGTCACTAAGTGTCATGGTATTTTTCCTGCATTCTTTAGGATTAACAGTTTTTACACACAGAGTATAACTAACAACCTATGAAAAGTGAGCACTTAGTTAATACTAGCATACCCTGATTGCACATGAATTCCTTATTCATATGAAGAACAACGAGTCACCAAACATTTATGGACATAAAATCTTTTTCTTTTTTTTTTTTTTCCCACAAAAGTTCACAAAAGATGACTAAAAAAAGGCAAACCCACAAGTTTACCAATCATCTCATCAATTTTGTATAAGATATATCTACTGCCATATTCACCTGTCTGTAAAGAAGCTTGCATAAGAAAGCTTGAAAAAATATACCACTTTTATCAATACAAAACAAATTAATCAGTAAATATTTAAAATTTATGAGGCATTTCTATGTGAAAACAATCATGCTAAATAAGCTGATTCAGGCAGTTCTAAGAAAAGCTTTAGCCAAAAACCTGCATTTACAATCTATCCTAAAAACAAGCAGAACACAGCACCAATCCAAGCATTAGTTCAATTAAAAAAAGGAAAAAAATGAAATCCCTTCTCAGCTTAATAACTTGTTAGTTCTTGACAAGTGCGACAACACAACAATAAGCCAGTCAAAATGAGTTTTTAAAGCGAGGTTATGCCCTTCATGTTGTGTTATCACAGTGGCAGATCAAACTGCTGACTTGGACTCTTTCTGCCAGCACTGCTGATGCTGCCTCTATGAAGCTGCTGTCACGGAATAGTCATGGTACCTGCTCTTGCCTATAGAAATGCACTAAATTGAACTCGAAGTAGTGTCTTTGTGATATCTTTTCAACAAGTCATGTCCCATTCAGCCTGCTAGTTTATCTCTGTCAGGCTGGGGGCCCAAGTGGTTTGCATGAGCTGTCAGGGACAGGTATACCAACCTGTTCAGTGCTAAGGAGGTAATGCATCTTTCGGGCTTGGTATTTCTTTTCCTTTTCTTTCTTTTCTAAGTCTTTCCTTTTCTCTTCATTTTCCTTCATTTCTGTGTACTCTTGGAGTTCAATCCTGTAATAAAATAAGTCTGCTAATTATATTACAACAATGAAAGAGGTGCTAGTGTTTTATTTTACTTTAACCCTTTCTATATCTTCACAGTGTTCTGCTATTATGTATTAGCAGTGTACCCACACCACTGGAATGCAAAATTACTGTTCATTCAGATCCACAGCAGCAGGATTCTACATGGATATAACTGAAGAAATAGGCTTAAAATGATAAAAACTATAAACAGTATATTAGTTCATATTGCTTACTCTTTTGAAGAATATGTCAACCTAAGTATTTTTGTAGCTTGATAAAATAGCACTCATAGATGTCCTTTTTTTTTGTCTTTTAGAATCAATTTTAGTTTGAATTTCCCTAAGCAGAAGTTATTATAATTTAGTGATTTTCCTTTAAATGGTTTCAAAATATAAGTTGTCCACTTATGTTTCAGCTGGTGCCTTGCAACACCTCCTTCTGATCTGCAAACAGGGGAGATCTTATGGAATGTGAGAGGATAGTAGACACAGGATGAGAGTCGACATTCACTCCTAGATCCTTGAGCCTTTTGTAAAGTTGAGAATGTAGGCATAGAGAAGAACTGCATCTAAACCCTTTATGCATGCAATGTCCTTAAGAGGATTTTCCATAGCATTAGGCTTCTTGCACAGGTCACTTTCTACTCTGATATGACAGCAATAGTACAGGCCACCACAACAAACAAGAACGTAACTACCTCATGAGTCACTGCATGACAGAGGTTTGCAAATACACAGTGTCATCTAAATGGGTGAGTCACTGTATTCAATAGGTCATAGAAAATTGTTCATAAAAGAAATAAGGAACGGTACCTAATACCAGCTCTCAAAGAATGAAGAAAACTTATTATTTTAACTGAATGTTTAGAGGAAAACTTTAACAGAAAATGGGCGTAGATTTCCTCCTTAGTGTTTTTTTTTCATAGAGCCAGGCTTGCCATAAGTTATGCAAGCAATAGAGTGAATTAATGTTCTATAAGAAACAAACTTCTGTGCTATTGTGCACAGTGCACATGTATGGATTTTTTTTTTGACCCAGTTAAAAAAGGTTAGTTTGATTAACATTTTTTATTTTTGTTATTAAGAAATGGCTAGTTCAAATTAACCTGTGTGCCAAAGACACCAAGCATATTCAGTCAGGCATTTAGATTGTTTAAAAGTTAATTAAGTGAGTAAATTCTAGTCTGCTTTTTTTTAAGCATGTGTGTATATGATAAAACAAAAAGCAAAGAAAGATTTACTATTCACATATCTGGATAATTCAAATGTTCCAGCAAAAGAGATTATTTAGAGAGGTCCACATTAACAGTCACAGTTATTTCAAAGAGTACCAAATAAGACACTTTATGACAAGGATCAAATCCTGTCAAAATATGCACATGAGTAAGTTTGCTGATATGAATAGTCCCATGGGAAAGTCATATTGCTCCTGAAAGTGTTTTTAAGATTGTGACTCAGATTTATTCTTAATATTTTAATTATCATATTGTTACGTTAGTTCTTCAAAATATGTGAAAGAGCAGTAATTGCTTTATAAATACAAACACTATGAAATCACATTCTTAAATACAAGTTGCAATGTATAATTTTTATTTGTTTCCTGCTATCTTTCAAGTTTTTATCAACCAAAATAAGTAAAATATTAAGCGATTAAACATGTTTTACTTCAAATGTAAAAGAAAAAATAGAGTGAAAAGGAAATTAAAGATCAGAAAAGATGTATAGGTCTGTTTCAATCTCTGGAAATATTTTTTGTTGCAGTTTACTGTTAAGGGCTGTTAATACAATATTTCATACAAGGTTACTTATGAAGCACACTGACGTTTAAAAATCACCATGCTATGCTTTTGCAGCAGTGTAATTTTTTTCCAACATAAGATTAAATTGCAAAATAAATGAATTACTTAGAGTGGCATGGCCCCCATTTTGCCGCCCTTCTCTTGAAAATTGCTTATTAATATGAAAAAAGGAGTTGGAAAATAGCCTGTTTTACTTTATGCATAGCATTTTGGGGCCTCAAAGCCTGCAGAGCCGGACTAGCTGCACATTTTAGATTGTGTTGGCAAGCAGGGACAATGACCTTTCTGACCTGCATCTCAAGGCTATTATTAATCGCTAAGTAACCTGGTAAAGCCAAACAAATTTGTTTCCATTGAAAGGATCTCTATCTGTGTCTGAGAATTTGTGCTGTACCAAACAAACCTCATTAACTGTGTCCATTTTTGACAAAGAACTAGGAGTTGGAGAGATTGGCGACCTTTCTTTGTCCTTAAGGTACAGATTTCAGAGTCACTGCATGTAGGTACATAAGCATTTTTACTTGGAAACTCTTTATTCTATATCAATCAATCATAAATGAATAAATAGACAATGCATATACCATCAACTTTGTTCTTTTATTTTATGCCACTTTATCTTCAATATCAGAGTGTATGATCCATGTTTTACATATTTAATATTTTTCCTGTTTCTTTTTGATTATCGAGTCCTCTATTCAGCTTTAGTACTGCTATCTATAACTGATGAAATGTCTATCAACATATTACTACAGTTTATTCAGGTTCTTATATACTCCTGTACTTCTTCCCAACAGTGGATATGGAAGCTTTGTTACTTAGAACATAACTAGTGATGGAAACTCCGAAATAATGATAAAAATATAAATTTGTATTATAGATGTAATGATAATAGGATGCAAACTGTTTCCCATTGTCATTAATCTGAATTTACCAGATCGCTTTGAATGGATGATTAATAATCATTATTTGCTGAAATTAAATGAAGTCTAAAATACTTCTTGATGTTCAATGTAATTCATGATCTTTTTAGACAGTACTATGATCCAAATCATCATGATCGTTCCTGATTATCACACGTCCTCACTAATGCTGTACCATAATCCTTTTAAAAGCTTGAGTTTTTTTAAGCAGTTACAAATAATTTTGAACATACTTTTGCAGCCTATACTTTTTGTCAGTTGTGCTAAAATATTTCTATTGTGCATTATACTGCTCTGAACAGTTGTACAGAACATGCAGACAATTCTGTCTCAGGGATAATAGCTCCCAAGATGATCCTCTCCTGAGTGGTAGTACAAAATAAGGGGTATGCAGTAGTCCAAACATTGCTTGACTGGAAAGCATAGATGTTTTAGCATAAATACAGATTTATTCTAAAGCTATTTGAACCTGAAACTTTCATCTCTTATACTATACTTTCAAGAATTTGAATAGGAGCAAAAGCAGAGAATCTAAAAGTAGTTGGATATGAATACACTATTTCACACATTAGTAGATTAATACTAACACTTTATGCATGGTGCAAGGGGTTTCACTGTTGCCATACAGAAAAATATGTATAAGCATAAGTGATACTAAAGACAAATTTATACTTCCAAATACAGTTAGACTTCCAGATAGCTTATGTGTAAATGGGTTCCTTGAGAAGTTTCATGCTTGTGACGTTTTACATGTACGCCTTCCCAGACAAAATAAATCCAAATTCCATTAAAGTCAACTGAAATTTCGTTGAAATTAAATAATCTTTGGATTAAACTATTACACTTACTTCCAGCCTTCTCTTTGTTCATGCATATCTTAGGTTCATCGAGTAATAGTAAGCAATCTTCTCTTGGTGTTATATGATATTATGAGTACTAGCTATGATGCACAATACTCTGTGGACTCTAGATCAAATTTGCTTCAGGATGAACATTTCATGGTTCAGTGTGAAGTGGGAGAATTGAATATGGGCAAATTGGCCTGTGTTTTTAAAGCTTCGTTAAAATTTTGGGAAGAAAAAGAGTTCTGCAATTGCAAAACAAGTTTTAAGTTATTTAATAATCTTGTTCTATTTTTATAAATGATACGTTGCATGGCTCATAGATGGAATAGTACTGCTTTTTAAACTGTTATATACTGAAAAAACAGGTAATTTTTTAGCACATAATCTTTTCATTATCTTAAAGGATATCTCAGTATATTCACAGCATCTACTGCATCTTCATACAAACCCAGCTTCCCATACAAGCTTAGTTCATTCAGAGTTTCTCCCACATCTCTCCGTATTTTGGAATATCTTTGTAGAGGAAATATGTGTAAGTTTTGACAAATGTAGTGTCTTATCATGACGTGAAAACTGTTCAACAAATTGGAAGAATATCAATGTTTATTAGTGCAACTTTAGGATGCATTCTTTCGTTAAAAAAGTGAATATACAGGGTAACACAAAGTGTGTTTTCCTTGTCATAGGGAATGTTTCGTGTAATTGAAAATAGGCATAGGGTTATCAACATATGTGCTCAAAGCCCACAATTAAAAATTATCTTGTGTAACAAATCTGTGGAGTAGTTATTGATCATTTTTTAATGATAAAATTATTTGCTTTATATAGTTTGAAAATAAAACATTTTCATATGACAAGGTAACTTATTGTTATTCTGATACTTCATTATGCAGTAGGCAGTGGTGTTGGTTCCAGCTATGAGATGCAAATTCGGTTGACAGTGCTCCTGCTGTCTGTATAAAGGTTAAAAATACATATATAATATTGTTCCTGACACTTTTGGAAAGGTCTCCAAGTGATGATTTCAGCAATATACAGATTTTAATAATTCTGCATAGAACTGCATCATTTTACAAATTCACACTGACCTAGTTATCAAACTATTGCATTCTGTTTGCCTTTTCACTGGCATTCTGTGGTCCCTTGACCAGATAACCATACAATTATAATATTAACTAAAGTAAAGGGCATCTGAGAAAATCAGACCCCAAATCATAAAATTCCTGAAACATAGGCAGTAGGCAACCTTAGCATAAAAGGAGATAACCTAAATCGATTTTACCTTCCTGACTATATATCATCCTCCCTGCTCAAATACAGAATATGGAAATGAAAATTAAATCAGTGGGACAATATTTTTGGTACACGACTCCATGCCACTTGATTTCACGTTATGTTGGTGTAGGTGAGAATGGAATATGA